TTTCGAAACAGTTATGACGTAACGAAGCCTCGTTTACTGAAATCACGTGACTTTGGCAGTTTGATTCGCGCTCCGAACCAGTGTTTCGAAACAAATGATTCAGAGATGTTTGGAAGCTTCACAGAGCAGCACTCGCTGCTGGATGAGCAGGAGCTGGCCTCCTTTGAGCTGTTCCCCGAGGGCAGCGTGTGCAGCGACGTGTCCTCCTCCATCAGCACTTACTGGGACTGGTCCGACAGCGAGTTCGAGTGGCAGGTGAGTCATCTCTGGTGATATTTGTGTAGATGTCATGGTAACTGTGTTGTATTTCCTAACACGTGGATGGCTGTGTGGTTGTAGTTAGCAGGCAGTGATGTAGCCAGCGGCAGCGATGTGCTGTCAGACATCATTCCCAGCGTGCCCAGCTCACCCTGCCTCCTGTCCAAAAGAAGAAACAAACCGCACCGAAACCTGGACGAGCTGCCCTGGAGCACCATGACCAACGACGAGCAGGTCTCAAACACTCACACTGAAATCTTAGATTATCATGCTGATTATATCATTTGTAATGAAAAATCTTTAATTAGACATAATTAGGAAAGAAAGGAAGCAGTCTCACTGCGTTTACTTGTGTTATTCTGTTTTGAAGTCAAGCTTCTGTTCGTGTCTATGTGAGCTCACTTTGTTGACTTTCATGTTTCAGGTGGAATATATTGAGTATTTGAGTCGAAAAGTGAGCACAGAGATGGGACTTCGAGAGCAGCTGGACATCATAAAAATAATCGACCCGAGCGCACAGATTCTGCCGACAGACAGCGAGTTCATCATTGAACTAAACTGCCTCACAGATGAAAAGCTCAAACAGGTGATTAATTACACTTACAAATGACAGGCCTTTCTGAAAGAGTCGCCTTGTTAAAGCCACTCCACATCTGCTGCAAACAAACGGCACTCATCCACCAGTGTGGCCAGCTTATTAGCAAGCTATCTGTAATGCGCTACACATCTTTTAAAATCTAAACACATTTTAAAACACAAGGTATAACACTTTGTAAGTCTATAACAGAGAGAAACTGGGCTTCATACTTTAAACGACTGAGGATCACACACTACCAGACTTTCAGATCGCTCCGAGCACAACACACTCACGAAGAAACATAAAATATCAGAGTCTGTGCAGAGCCATTATGCACGATGTGATTTTCTGTGAAATCTGTAAACTCGGAATCAGAAAGAGCTTTATTGCCAAGTGTGTTCACACACCTAATGAATTCGTCTTGGTGTCAGGAGCTTCCAGTGCAGAAAGTACAGACATAGTGCAGACATACTTATCATTTAAGGTAATAAAAACACTAATAATAAAGAGAACAGATACTAAATTATAAATAACAATATAGTATTACAAAACTCGTCCTGACAGCAGAGCAGTGCAGGAGTCGTGTAGTGTTTTCCAGCGATTATCTCTTAACAGCCAGATCAGATCGCTTCAGCTGCTTTGATGTTTCCACTGTTGCTCAGGTGCGGAGCTACATCCGTGAGCACAGTCGGCGGCAGCAGCGCAGCGTGAAGAGGAGCCTGGCGAGCAGCAGCAGTAACACCAGCATCACCAGCAGCAGCATCAGCAGCAGCAGCAGCAGCAGTGCCTCTAGCATCAGCCGCGCTCACAGCGACAGCAACCTGGCCTCCGCTGCAGAGAGGATACGAGACTCCAAGGTGCTCCAGCACTTCTGCAGCACAGCAGGAAAAACTACACGAGACCGTCTTAATGCACACACACAACACAGCCAGTTTGATCCGATTCACAGGGAAACGACTCTCATGAGCAAAAACAAACAGATATCAGTGAGAGTTACTGTTAATGAACGCCTCTTCACTGCATGAACTAATTAACAGTAACTCTCACTGATATCTGTTTGTTTTTAGTACTGATATTTACATATATGTGTTCAGATATTTGTAGATATGAATATTTTAGATTTAGATACTTGCATATAATCCACAAATGAAGTCAAAAACTTAATTTACACAAGTCAATCCCGTTTAAATGTTTGTGTTTTGGTGGAGCTGCCTTCGCTGTCAGTGAGTGTTGTGTGTTTTGTGAGAGATGCTCAGTCCTCAGCAGTGAAGCTGTCGACGGTAAGCTTCAGATCAGGGCTGTCCTGCAGAGTTTAGGTCCGACACCTGCCTAGAGGTTCCCAGTGAGTCTGGAGAGCTGGTGATCTGGTTCAGGGGTGTTTGACTGGGAACAGGGCTGAATCTACACACATGAGCTCTTCCCAAAAATGAGCAAATTATGTTGAGATCCAGCTTTTCACACTTGGGACATCTCTGAGACTCAGACAGAAAAGGTGCAGATATTTATTGATGCTGAAGAAGGTAAAACCATATAAGAACCGAGGCGATGTAAACTACCAAAAATAATTTTGAATTATATATATATATATATATATATATATATACAGT